CATATATATATATATATGAGATGTTTGGTAGGTGCCTCTGTAGGTACGTGCCAAACGTTTACGTTTATGGCTCTTGCGAGCGAAACACCCACATATTATAAAAGCGGTCAGCAAAAATTGCATTTGATGGATCTTCTTCTTCTTCTTTTTTTTAACTATAGAAGAATATGATTAGAAATTCTGATTGCATCCTTTTTTTTTTACCTTCTTGACTACTCCATTTTTGGACTTGATTTCTTTGGGGCGTGTATCGTTTTGCGTTAAGATATCTCATCTCTGACTGGTTGGAATAAATCGCGGATGGGAATGAATTCCTTTAGGAGAAAAAAGAAATGTATATAAACACACTTGTTGAAATAAAAAGAAGAAGAAGAAGAACTTTGGGGCTCTCCAATCACTCTTCGAAAGTCTCAAAAGCCGAAAGCCAAATGCGAGCGATAAAATACAATTAAAGCTAAAGACTGACCCCCCCTGCGCCCCCCCCACTTTTTCTTTTTTCCACTGGCTGATCCCCTCTCCCCCTCACGCCTTGTAAAACCTCCCCCACCCCACCCTGCTAGCTGATGAGGTGACAACCCATAATTATACAAAACCGCTTTCTTGTCTGGCTTGACTGCAGTGGCATGCAGAGAACTCCAAGATGGGGCTTCCATCATCCTACGCGAAACCTCCACCGCATTATCTTCTCCTGTTTTTTCGTCCTTTCTTCTTTTCCCTATAGTCCCGCGATTCTTGTACATATACCTTCACGGTTCTCTGCCCTTAACCAATATCCTGAAGATGGAGAGTTTGCCATCATCACTCAATATAGTTACGCGTTGGATACGTGTCGAGAGTTCAAATTCAACACTCATTTTATAATAAAATTGTTATTTAATAAAATTTTTGACTTTTGATTTTAGTATTCAATTCTTGTTATTATAAAACAAATGAGAGATAAATAAAAATTTGAATAAAAAGAAATATCTTTTTATTCAACCGCTTTGAATTGTTCAAATCTAATTTTATTTTTGTATTCAGCGACCCTAAGAAGCGCCAAATATCTATACGAGTTTTAAGCGAATCGGATGAATTTCTAAAAAAGGCGATTGCCATTTTGAAATTTTGAAAACTACCATCAGATTAGTAATTAGTGACTCCAAAAACCCCAGAGTGACGAGTTTTCAGCGAATCCGATGAATTTTTGAAAAATTCGTCTGCCATATTAAATCCGCCATTTTGAATTTTTGAAAACTGTCACCTTCTAGTGGTAAACTATTCAAAACATAGCTGAAGTAAATTAAAACTTGACGAAAATTTAAAAAAAAAATACACCTGTAATAATTAAACGAAGAAAGGAAGAGAGCTTTTCTTCATCAATTTGGAGCTTTTTTTATTAAATAAGAGCTTTTTCCGAATCAGGAAAGTACTCTGAACTTGTTTAGAATTTATTTTCAATTCAGAAAAAATTTGAATCTTGAAAAATGACGTTGGTCTTGACAATTTTTGAAGTCAAATATTAACTTTCGGCTTTTTTCATAAAATTGGAGCTTTTTTTTATTAAAGAAGAGCTTTTTCTGAAATGCGGAGGTACTCAAAACTTTTTTAAAATTTATTTCGATTTTTCAATTTTTGGAGGCGATTCTTAAATTTAGTCTTTTGTGCATCAAATTGTAGCTTTTTTTTACTAAAAAAAGAGCTTTTTTCGAAATACGTAGGTACTCAGAACTTTTTTTGAATTTATTTCCGATTCAGAAAAAATTTGTGTTTTAAAAATCGACGCTGTTCTTGACAATTTATTTTCGCACAATGTTTAGAGTCGAGTATCAAATTTGGGCTTTTTTCAACAATTTGGAGCTTTTTTTTATTAAAGAAGAGCTTTTTCCGAAATACGTAGGTACTCAAAACTTTTTTAGAATTTATTTTCGATTCAAAAAAAATTTGTGTTTTAAAAAACGACGCTGGTCTCAACAATTTATTTTCACAATGTTTGGAGTCAAATATCAAATATAGGTTTTTTTCATTAAATTGGAGCTTTTTCTGCCATACGGAGGTACTCAAATCTTTTTTAGAATTTATTTCTGATTCAGAAAAGCTTTGTATTCTGAGAAACGAAGCTGTTCTTAATAATTTATTTTCACAATGTTTGGAGTCGAACATCAAATTTGGGTTTTTTTCATTATATTTGAGCTTTTTTTATTAAAGAAAAGCTTTTTCTCAAATAGGGAGGTACTCAAATCTTTTTTAGAATTTATTTCCGATTCAGAAAAAATTTGTGTCTTAAAAATCGACGCTGGTCTTGACAATTTATTTTCACAATGTTTAGAGTCGAATATCAAATTTAGGCTTTTTTCATCAATTTGGAGCTTTTTTTATTAAAGAAGAGCTTTTTTCGAAATACGTAGGTACTCAGAACTTTTTTAGAATTTATTTCCAATTCAGAAAAAATTTGTATTCTGAAAAACGACACTGGTCTTAATAATTTATTTTCACAATATTTGGAGTCGAATATCAAATTTGTGCTTTTTTCATCAAATTGGAGCTTTTGTTTTATTAAAGAAGAGCTTTTTCCGAAACACGTATTATTAAAATTAAAAAAAAATGACGCTGGTCTTGACAATTTATTTTCACAATGTTTAGAGTCGAATATTAAATTTGCGCTGTTTTCATCAAATTAGAGCTTTTTTTATTAAAGAAGAGCTTGTTCCGAGAAACGTTGGTACTCAGAACTTTTTAGAATTTGTTTCCGATTAAAAAAAAATTTGTGTCTTGAAATCGACGCTGGTCTCGACAATTTTTGGAGGCGATTCTCAAATTGCGGCTTTTTCCATTAAATTGGAGCTTTTTTTTATTAAACAAGAGCTTTTTCCGAAACGCAGAGGTACTATGAACTTTTTTAAAATTTATTTTCGATTCAGAAAAAATTTGTATCTTGAAAAAAGACGCTGGTCTTGACAATTTATTTTCACAATGTGTGGAGTCGAATATCAAATTTAAGCTTTTTTCAACCACTTTGAAGCTATATTTTTATTAAAGACGAGCTTTTTTCAAAACACGGAGGTACTCTGAAATTTTTTAAAATTTGTTTCCGATTCAGAAAAAATTTGTGTCTTGAAAAAAGACGCTGGTCGCCCAAGTCGAAAAATCCAATGGAAGTACTTCCTGGAAACTTTTAATTTGTTTTTTGTCTGAATTTGATATCCTTAGAAAAACTGTGAAAGTATAGAACGACTTGAAATTAAGGGTACTTGCATTTGTTCTCTGAATTAGTAAAAATTGATTTGAATTAGTTTTCAAATTAGTAAATTAGTGAAAATTAGTTTGAATTAGTTTTCATTGAATACTTTGAATATAAAGAAGAATTAAACTTCAATAAAATTTGTTCCCTTTCTGTATTTTTTCTTCAAAAATTAGACAGTCTAAAATTTTTTGCTTCTTAGGTACCTTTCTTACCATCTCGTTAAATAACAAATGTTATCATCCTCTTAATCTAAATTCCAAATTTTCTCTCTATTCAAACACACAAAAAACATGATTCAAAACAAATTTTAAAAAATGGTTTCTATAAATCGAGATATAGAATTGAAAAATGACAAAGGCGTGATATCATGTCTGTTTACAGGAGGGAATGTCGTGCCACCAAGTTCGTTCATCGATCAGAAAACGTGTCTTCGCATACATTATCACCGCGAATCTTCTCCTGTTACTTTAGTAGAAGACGATGACAACTCTCGTCATAAGAATGAAAAACAAATCGAATTTGGAATTTTAACTTTGGGAATAATATTCCTAGCACGTGGCATGGCGCAAAGACTTTTTGATTCTACCTTCCCCCCTTTTTTTGTTATACGTTTATTAGATATAGTTTCTCTCTCTCTCTCTCCCTCGACTTTATGCGGATCCATCAACGAAAGCGAAGCTTGCACACGGCTAAGTCGACTGGCAAACACGCGGGTTTTCGAAATCAGCGTGCAGATTATATGCAGAGACTGCGCGCTTTGTGATTGATATTTGGTTAAGCGGCTGGCGATCCATCAAGTCCACAAAAGCGCTCTTTATCCCCGACTCACCGCCCGATTTCACTGAAATCCGGAAACACTACCTCCCGGTCCGCCTATCGACCTTATACTTGTTCTGTCTGAAGAAAGGAAACGTGAGGGGCGCGTCGAAAATTCAATTCCTCCTGGCGTTATCTCAACTTTTTCAATCTTATCGCTGTAAATAATTCCCTTTTTTTTAATCTCTCTCTCTCTTTGATGAACCTTACTGCGGGTTTCTGCATGCATTTCCCGTTTTGCAACTGGATTCCCTATTTAAAAAAAAAAACCAAAGAATTAGTTTGGAAACGAGTTCTATCATCTACAATCTACTCTCTAAATTTAAATTAGTAGCATTTAATTCAATAAGTACATTTATTTTAAACTACAGAATCAGTTTATTTTTTGCAAAATTACTGATCCAATCACTGCTAACTTAAAAGTATCAAATTGTGCTACGAATTAATTTTTACAGAGAAACACTTGTATAGCTAGAGTATAAGACACTAAAGATGACTGTATAATTAAAACAAATAAAATTGAGTCACGATTATGTCCATTTTCGAATAAAAGAACAGAATTATCCATTTTCGGTGAATAATAAATTAATAACCGAGTATCAAGCTGAAAAAGCAGAAAGGTGCAAGAAAGTATATGTAAAATTCACTGATTATAGTGATTAGGAAAAATGTACATGATGTCCAATTAGTGTAAAGGGTACATCATGATAAATCAACTATAGTAGTCAATTATTAATTTTATTATTAATTTCGTTATTAATTTTATTATTAATATGCCATGTCTTTTTTTAAGAAAGGATTTGGTTTTTAATTTTATTATTAATTTTGCTATTAGAAGTAACTTCTGATTTTATGATATATTTGCAGTATTTTCTATCCTAATTTGGAATTTTAAGACAATAGTAGTGATGATAAGCTGATTAAATTGTTTTTAATTGAATTCCTGAATTTTTTTTGTTTACAGACATGCCCCGAATGGAGAAATCACCATTATTGGCGAACGGTTACAATCATCCACCAACGCACCTGACCCAAATGCAGTTCATGCAACTTGGCCATCCAATTGCCGGTCATGCAATTCTGTCATCGGCCAGCTTATCCCAGCAACTTCATTCCCGCGCTGAACAGGGCCTCAAGGTCAATCCGAACATACCCATGGAAGTATTTGCAAGGTAAGTTCTGACATTATTTTCCACTAATGCTAACTAATACAGACTTTGCACTCAATAATATTAATTTAAAAAAAAATAGCAAAAAGTAAAAAAAAAAACTTTAAGCTTACTGTTCAGCTTGAAAACTGAAAAAAGTATCTATCGAAAAATTAAATTTGATGACGATTTTAGTCGATTTGGAAAAATCTCAAAAAATTAATCCGGACTTCCCTGAAATTTTCCTGATTTCCAAAAAAGAAAATTATTTTTCTTCTTACCCTGGTAATAACTTCAATTCTAAATTATTATCAAAATTCAATTATTTTCCAAACTTTTAGTTAAAATTCTTCAAAAATTCGATTATTATTTAAATATAATTTTTAAAAGTAAAACAATAAATTTTTTTAAAATATAAAATTTATTTCAATTAAATTCGACAAAATTTCCAATTATTTGGAAATACAAATAAATATTCTTAATGTTTACGAAATTTTAACTATTCAACAAATTTTAATTAAAATTCTTTCAAAGACTATTTTTTCATAATTTCTACATTAAATTATTCATACTTTATTAATTTTTGTTCAATAAATTTATAAATACTTATTTAAATTTTCTACACTTAAAATTTTAAGTAATTTTAATGTAAAAGCTTTATGAACTTTGACTATTTTTAAGAATCTATGGAATAACGTATTTCATATTCAATTATAATCTAAAATTTTAACTAAAATAGATTTGAAATTAAATTCTTATTAAAAAGTTTTACAGGAATTCAATTATTTAATTATACAAAAATAAATAATTAATAGAATAAATAATTATTTCTTAAAATTGAATACTAAAAAAAATTTTATAAAAATTATTGAAAATAATTGATTTCTTTTGAAGAATTTTAATCAAAGTCTTGAAAAGAATTACATTTTTCGAGAAACTTATTTAAAACTTTATTAAAAATAATTGAATTCTTCCAACGAATTTTATTAAATTTTTTCAAATAATTGAATTTTTGTGAAAATTTTTTTTATTTGCAACAATAAATAATTAAATTCTTGCGATGATTTTCATTATTTCTGAAAATAATTTAATTCTTATAAACAAATATTATTAACATTTTACAAAATTATTAATTTCTTTCAAACAATTCTATTAAAATAATATTAATGAATTTATCGATCGAATTTTATTAAAATATTTTAAATGATAAATTAATATCTTTCGAAAAATATTGTTGATAATTGTATTTCAAACAATTTAATTTCTGTAAAAAAAGTTTATTATTTTTGATATTAATTGAATTCTCTTAAGAAATTTTATAAAAAATAGTAAATATTGAAAATAATTGAATTCTTGCAAAAGATTTTGCAAGAATTTTTGAAAAATTTAATTTGTTCCAAAGAATTTTATAAAAAAAAATTTTGTATTCTTTCTAAGAAGAATTTTAATAAAATTTTTGAAAGTAATTACATTTTTCGAAAAATTTACTTGAAATTTTATTTTAAAAAAATTGAATTCCTGTGAAAAAGCTTATTATTATTATTTTTAAAAATAATTGAATTTTTGCAACGAATTTTATTGAATTCTCTTAAATAATTGAATTTTTTTGTGAAAAATTTTTTATTCGTAAAAATAATTTAATTTAGGCGAAGGTTTTTATTGCAATTTTTGAAAATAATTGAATTTTTTTCAATTATTTTATAAAAATTTAAGAGAATATTTTAATTATTTAGAATAATTTAATTAAAATTGTATTAAAAGTAACTGAATTATCGAGAATGAATTTTATTATTTATAAAAAAAATTAAATTTTTATAAACAAATGTTTTCAACATTTTAGAAAATAATTAATTTCTTTCAAAGAATGTTATTAAAATATTTAAAATAATTGAATTCCTGTGAAAAATTTTCTTCGAAATTGTGTTTCAAATAATAAAATTCCTGCGAAAAATTTTATTATTTTTAATATTGATTGAATTTTATTTTTATTAAATAATTGATGTCTTTTGAAAAATTTTATTAAAATAGTAGATATTGAAAATAATTGAATTCTTACGACAGATTTTATAAAAATTCTTGGAAATAAAGGAATTGTTTCAAAGAATTTTATAAATAAACTTTGAATTCTTTCTAAGAAGAAGTTTTCTTAAATTTCTAAGAATAATTTTTTTATTACAACTATTAGCGGATTCAAAGTAGTTAAAATTTGCGAAAAAAGAAAAAAAATTGCTTCTAGTGTCACAAATTAAAAAAAAAGTAGTCAAATAGTATCTAATCGTAAAAAAAGTATTAAATATTAGGTTTCAGTATAGATAAGCGCGAAGCCTGCTAATATCTTTGAACCCTCGAATGGAATTTTGATAAAATCATTTGCAGATTGTCAAAAACGTCTTCAGTTTTCTGAAGACGAATTTCACTAGGATAAGTCCGGGGTATGTTAGGTTACGGTGGGAAAATTTTTTTTACTAAATGTACTTTTATTAAATACAAATGTATTTTTAAATACACTTTTTAAAACATGTAGGTTTTAAGATTGTTTATATGAAAATATTTTATTTTTTGCCATTTTTAAATTAAGGGTTCAATGTTTAATCGTCAATAAAAGTTCAGAAAAATTGTCTTTTTAATAATTTTTTACAATTCTTTAAAAAAAACAAACGGCATTTTCCGCCGGACTTACCCTACATTTTTTAAGTTATAAATTTTTTTTTTCGTTATCAAAAAACAATGATGGATTTATCATCTGGAGAAATGTGTGTATAAGACAAAATGCTGGATCATTTCAATGGAATGATCGGGGCGATAAATGTTGGGCTTGGCTAAAAAGATTTTAACGACGAAGAGAGAATCGTAAACGTCACAGATTTTATGGTTATTGTAGTGTGTGTATATATGTATTGAGAAATTGGATTTATTTGTTTTAACTTCTTTGTTCAGTCGACGTTAAGGCCTAACAACTGGGCAAAGAAGGGTCGTGTGTAAGTTCAGGGGGCGCTGTTAGGCGAGGCCAAAAGAATACAACTTTAAGAGGATTTCAAGAGACTGCGAAGCCGTGGAAATCCGAGGGGTCTTGGTAGCGCTTGATCTATCTTTCTCTTTTTGCTTCTAAGACTGTTTTCTTACATGTTCCTTGCTCTTGGCTCGTTTACGCGGGTTAGGTTACCTCACTCATGAACGTACACCTCACTCTCTTCGTTTATATTCTTTCACAAGAGGGGAAAAAAAACATCAGGACATGACATGTATATAGTACCAGCAGGACAACTCTTCTCTTGAAGAGCTTCAAATCCTCAACTATAAATCTTTCAACAACTGTATCGCACAATTTATCGATTAGATAATTTAAATTTTTATGATAATGTAGATCTTTTTACCGACTGTGCCTTAAGGGTAGTCTGGAAACTAATAAATGTTTCAATTTTTTACTCGGATTTCCACGGATTTCCTTTTTCCTCATGCGAAAAGATTCGATTTGTTGGAATCGTATTTTTAGTGTCACGCGTGTCTCTATTTGCGTGAAACTACGTGGTACGCGCTTACGTATATAATAATACGAAGAAGGCGGCACCGCACGTTCCGCATTATGATTTCAGCGCTTTGCTTTTAATTAAAATGCAAATCTATCGCTCCAGAGAAGCGAGAGATCGGGAGGTAAGACGGATTACGTCTGGGGGCGCCACGACAAACACCGGAATATGATTAATTCAACGCAACCCCATCCTGCCTCACTAACACACAAATGATGTTGCTATCGTCAAACCCGATTCCGCTTCGCCTTTCCTTTTTGCCGGAGCGATATGTGTGTCCACTTGCTTCTCCTCGTCATCCCTTTCTCGACGCCTCTTACTTACACGGTAAACAACCGAAGGCTTCCTCTGCGCCGACATTAATTTTCAAGAACTACTCAAAAGGATTTGGAGAAATCCTTTGAAATCCCGCATCACCCTTTTTTTCGAAAATTTTCGGCAAAAAAATATTAACGAATTTCCATTTAAGGTAATCAACGTTTCGAGATGAAAAGTCTTTTTTTTCATGTTACTTGTGTAAACGGTCTTAATGATCGTCCTCGAGTTTTTATTATAGATCAATGACACTCATACCCAGCCTCTTGACATTTTTTTAATCAAAGGACTTCAAAGCCTCTCCTCCAGTTGACAGTCTAGTCGAGACGATCGAATCAAAGGATACATCCGAAAGATGAGACTAAATACCGAAGAGATTCTTAATCAACTCTCGTTTCCTCTGCATTACTTCGCATCGTGTAAAGGACCTTAATTACTCATCTACCATATAATCAATGTATTCCCCTCTATTTATCTAATTCTTATCATCACAATCTTTTAAAAAAATGTCTTCTTACTCTGATTACATGAGGAGCGGTCTTATTTTTCAGCAATACTCAATTCCTCAAAGAGGAAGTATTTACCAGTTCCCCTTTCCCTTGGCGAAAAAGCCCAATGGTCTAAGAAAAGTATACTCCTAATTTCGAGATCTTCTGTAGAGGCAACATTTAGTATCATTTAGTATCAAATTAATGAAATAATTTGTTAATCCTGGCAATGACCCCACCCGATCTTTAATGAACAAAATTTATCAAATGATACAAATCTGGGATTTGGTAATCAAGAAATTTCTTTTCCTCTTTCAGGTCCGTTGGTGGTTTAACGTTGGACAACTGCAGGGGACTTTACGAGGACTTCGCTAAACATTACGAAAGGTAAGGAAAAAGAACACGATTGCTATTAATTTTTTTTTCTAATAGCAAATAAAAAACTAGAATTTAAATATCACAGTTGAATTAGAATGGACTTTGGGGAATTGCGATACGGAATTGTTCAGAGGTAAAAAAAATCGGTGCGATTAGTTTAAAAATGCAAAATGGGTGACACACGCAACTGCAGGGAATGACAACGATAGACTTCCGATAAATCAGCATTACCGTCAACATCGAGTTTCCGGTTGCATCGGCGAGTTGAGTCCCGCGTCCTGACGCACTAATTCCAACATGATTTGTATTGTGCGGGGAAACTAACACTATATATAGTCAGGCAACATCCACAATCATCCCCGTCGCATTCTATCCTTCGTGTGCGTCGCGAGTCCCGGGGTTTCCCTCTGATCCTGACCACTTGTCACTTTACGGAACGCAGATCATTGTCGCGACGGGCTCGTCCATCATTCTGGGATTAAATCATTTGAAACACTCTGACACCGGGCTTTACTGCTTTTTTTTAAAACAATTTTTGTTAAATACCCTTTTTTAGGTTCATTTTCTTCTCAATTCTTGCCATTTTAGAGAAATTTATTTTATAAATACAAGTAAAAAGTTGTTTATTATATATCTATAATTAAAAATTAATAGAGTTCTATCTAGAGATTCCTGCACCGACATTTTTAGCCTAGATTTAAACCAAACGGAAGGGGGCAAGTTTTATTCCGGATAAATCGTTTTCTGAATAAAACTTTCCACTCCGTCTTAAGGTTTGAGTCTGGGTTAAAAAGTGTCGGTAAATGCCGGTGCAGAAATCTGTAGATAGATAAAAATATCGTGACAGAACCACTTCGTCACAAAGGTCACAATTAAATTAATTGCAATTAGATGTAGAAGGAGGAAAATAAATCAATAACATAGAGTAGAAAATTGAAATTTGAGTGAGAAATAAGTCGACCCTTAATGCTACCCAGCCCTGTCATTGACGAAGTAAACTTTAACTGTAAAAACATAGTTATCGTTGTTTTTCCATTGAAACGCTACATTTACCAAAGCAAACACATCATTTAACTGAAAAATAACTGAGGGTTAAGATCGTCAAGCACAATAAAGGAACATTATGTTGTATAAAAGTCGAGGCACAGAATGAGTTGGCAAATTCAAAAGTCGAAAAAGCGAAGGGGGTGAAAGTTGACACTTGGGTCAAAATGTAATTTCCAATTCAAAGGCAATGACCACTGGCAAACGTTCTCCTCTCGAGCCTCCTCTCCCTGCTTGCTTTCTCTATTTGCTTTAATACCCCCGCGCTCTGGCTTCGTCAACCGGACAAACGCGTATTGTGATTTCAGCCTTTGACTGGTCGCCGTTCGATGAATCGGCTGAGGGTGGGCAGTACGATATGAGCGAAAGGGGTGCGAAGGGATGGACGAGTGAACACGGTGAATATTCATGCGAAGAGCCCTAGACGAAATCGGACTTGTTGCGACTGACACTGATGTAAACTTTTGTTTATCCGCTCCCCCTCTAACACCACCCACTCTGAATCAATCCCCCCCGCACATTCTCTCTCATTCCGATAGCTGTATTTCCAAAACCCTTAGTCGAAGGGGTATAACCCACTATTTAACTGTGAGTTAAATTCTGATTAATTGTCGGTCCTGGGGGTTATTAATTGTTTGTCCTTTTGATTTTACAAGCAACCGGAAACCCGCGTCAGTTTGAAACGATCCTTTTCCCTTGGTTTTGGGATTCGCTCGGGTTTCTTCACTACTCTAATCCCGATGATTTGTTCTTGTTAATCCAGTCGGAACCCCTTTTCTGCTTGCCTTCCATGTCGTATATACGAAACAGAATCGCGAGCCGGTTATTTATGACGTTTGCCTTTCGCGAGAAGTTCATTTAATTAAAGCTCACGGACAACAGCGGCTTCATTAAATTCGGATTCACGACACCGTGATATCTAAACAAATCGCTGGATAATCGAGGATAATTATTCTTCTCCTGCTTTGTACACAATAAACTCTATAGTTGAGATTGTTGGGGACTTTTACTTTTTTGTTCTTGAAATTGCGAAATTAATTTTTATCATGTAACGATGGGCTAGAATATAGCAATAGCATGCATTGTATAGTACTTGGTACTTTGACCAGAGATTGCTGCAACCAGAATAAGCTGAATTAAATTCCCTGAATTGAGGGGATCCTAACAGAAAGTCATCCCTACGGATGATAGCAGAACAATATGGACTATATCCAGATTGCAAGAAGACTTAATGCCCAATGAAATGGAGAAACAGTTAGTTGCATTCGTATACCGACAATAGCTATAACTATAATAAATTCGTAAAAAATTAGATATTCTCTCCTCGGCGATGAAATTTGTAAATAATTTCAGAACCCGTCATCCGGGGAGAGATTTTCTGTAACTAATATTAATGGCACGTCTCCTTGGCAGAATGGTCGGCATCAATGTACAACTTGGCTTCTAGGCTTTAAAATTACCTAGTCATTCTGGCATAATTCCCGCGCATTGTCGTTTTATCCCCCACCTACCCTATCATCAGCAAACCTTCCATTTTCTCTTATCTATATCACCCTTCGAATCCCGTGGTCTCCCCCCTTCTCTTTTACTTGACAGTTTCTTTGCTTATTCGCTCATCGTGTCCATATTCTCTCTTTTCAAGAATATCATTAATTACCCTCCTCGCGTCAACGTCGTCTTATCGCAAAAGACATCTGCCTTCCTCGCTGGAAAATAATATTCATAAAATTTGATCATTATTTTTAATCGATGCTTAATGTTTCAAATCTTTAGTACTGCATAATGAAGCATTAGGATCAACAAACTTTACATCTTTTATTAATCCTTTTATTCATCTAATGATTAATAAAAGATGAAAAGATTGTTGATCCTAATGTCTATAATTGTTCAAGTTATCGAACGTATTCCCCAAAAAGAAAAATACTTCGAATGAGAGAAAAAAAGGGAAAGTTTGGAATAACAGTGTGAAGAGATGTGAATACTAAAAATTTATTCGGCATGGTGGCTTATAGTACAGTAACACGGGAAATGCAGTTAATTTCATTCGGCGATCGCCCGTTTGATAACGCGGCAAACGGAGTCTACTATCAGCCGCGACGCTAATTGCGTTCAAACGAACTGTCGGCACTGACACGCACACCTTAGCATAACACGCTACATTTAAAACCTACGTGGACTCATGTTTATACGCTTGAGCTCAAGCCGTGAAGCAAATTCTCAACCTCGCGTACCTTCATTTGCTTTATGATTAATATACAACAAGTATTCGACTTCAACTTGTCAGCATTCAAAATGTGATTTAGTCTTCACCATCATTCCTTATCGCGGGGGCATACAAAATTTCCAGTGGAATAAAGTTATGAATCCGAAAATAATTTCTTTATATTCCTTTACGTGCTGATCATTAAGAACAATTCTGTTTTTTGATAATGAAAGTTCAAAAAATGGTCAAAATTCACAAATTTTTCTGTTGACGTTATAACCGTAATTGCTAATAATTCATGTTCATGTTCTTTAAAATTTTTCGTTTTGGATATGAGAAAGCACTTGTTACAAATTTTTGAAACGAACACATTATTAATTTTTTTTATTATTAATTACGAGGATATGGATTAACGCGTTAAATAATTTACAGATTCCTTTATCGACATTTACCGACTCTTTTTAGCCCAGACTCAAACCTTAAGGTGGGGGGGCAAGTTTTATTCAAAATACAATTTGGAAGCTTAAATAAATTGTTTAAAAAAATTTAATGTAAGATAACAAATCAAGAGACTAGATAACGAAAGAGTTGAATAATAAAAAAATAATTAAGGTTTTATTGTTGACAAGAATGTAGCTATAAATAGATAAAAAGGAAGAGTTCTATCTACAGATTCCTGTACCGACATTTACCGACATTCTTTAGCCCAGACTCAAACCTTAAAGTGATGGTCAAGTTTTATTCAAAATACCATTTGGAACCCTAAATAAATTGTTTAAACAAATTTAATGTAAAGTAATATATCAAGAGACTGAATAACAAAAGAGTTGAATAATAAGTTAAAAATTAAGGTTATATTGTTGACAAGAATGTAGCTACAAGTAGATATACAGGAAGAGTTCTATCTACAGATTTCTGCACCGACATTTACCGACATTCTTTAGCCCAGACTTAAACCTTAAGGTAGGACAAGATTTATTCAAGAAAAAATATTCGAAGTCTTGATAAATTATTTTAAAAAATTGCGAGATTTATTATAAAGTAACAAAAGCAACAATATGAAGAATAGATTGTCAGAATTTAAAAGACGTAAAGAAATAATGGAAGAATTCAGCTATTGTCAATCAGTCAATAGAGAAATTTAAACATAGTTATTAGGCCTACACTATTTTCTTTTTCAACTCGGTTAATTATAACATTTGGTATACACCAAAAATCTGCTTACTCTCAATTTCTTTCCTCTTCCCGAAAAAAAAAGAAAATTATTCAGACAGGGATAATATTAGCCCCCAAAGTTTTTGTTTAGCCTACAATGTAGACACGTTTGTTACAATTTTCACAATCCATATAATTATCGTACACTTTGTATAGAACCATATTCAACACAACAAAGTAGTGTTTTTATTAAGAAAAAAACAAATCGATTCAATATTTAATGAATCCCTTCACGCAATTCGCAAATTAACTCTCTAGGATTTTATTTTTTGAATGTAAATTTTTGTGTTAAAATTTATCCCTGATCGATTATGCAAAATATGTCGTGACCAGTGGACATCACATGCAACAGGCCTAAAAAAAATCTTTTTTCTTTTTGTCGAAGAAGATTGAAAGGAATTTTCCAAACTTTTATATGTATATATGTATACCCTTAATAAGTGAGGTCGTTTTTTGCGTATTGCAAAATGCTTTGTCTGGACTTGTGCCCTGTCAAAAAGAGGACGATTCGCGTGCTCGACGATCATTTTATGATTTATCGCGCGAC